CCCCGGCCCTGGGGAGACAGCTCATGGAACTTAGAGTTGGATGGGGAAGGCACTGGCAAGCAGTGAGCTTGGGACAGTGAATTAATTCCTTGTACTTGGGACAGCAAATTCAGGTGTCCTGAGTCCATGTAGGTCTATGGCGTGCATGAGTGTGTTCCTGTGGTGCACGGATATCTGTGGTGTCGACCGAGGGTTCACACGTGTGTGCCACACCCTCAGAGTGCTGGGGCGGGTGTGTGCACATGGCTCTTGGCTAAACACCTATGGTGTAAAGTACAGGCCTGAAGAGTGGGGATGCAAAATATCCCTATGAAATGGCGCCAGAGCAGTTACAGAATAACTGGCCAGATGAATAAATTAGAGGACGGTATATAACTTAGGTCAGTGTACAATTTAGAAAATAAAACAAACACAATTAGCCGGGTGTGGTGGCACATGCCTATAGTCCCAGCTACTGCAGAGGTGGAGGCAGGAAGATCGTTTGAAGCTGCAACGAGCTATGATGATACCGTGGCACTCTAGCCAGGGCAGCAGAGTGAGACTCTGACTCAAAAAAAAAAAAAAGTGGGTAAAGATAAGAAGAAAATAAACCAAACACAGCAGCTTGCTTGAGAAAAACAGGCAAACTTCCCTCTCCAGGGCCAGCTCTGTGGGCTTTCCCTGGGTGTGTGTTGTTGTTGTTAGACACGTCACTGCTGGCTGTCATGATTTATCAGAAGTCTTGTGATCTGAAGATCACTCAGATATTTTTAAGCTCATTTGGACTTTGCTCTGAAATCCACTCTCTACCAAGGCGATAAACAAGTTTACGAGAGCAGCTGGATTTCCATGTAGCGAGAGCCTGCTGCAGTCTTGAGGTTACTGGCCTGGGAGCATGACTTGGCAGGGGAAGGCTTCCCGACAGTCTGGCCACACGTAGGTGAGCACATTGGGTATAAAACAAGGAAAAAGAGGAAAGGGCTCAGCACCTTTGGCTCAAGCGGCTAAGGTGCCAACCACATACACCTGAGCTAGAGGGTTCAAATCTAGCTTGGGCCTGCCAAACAATGACAGCTGCAACCAAAAAATAGCCAGGCGTTGTGGTGGGTGCCTGTAGTCCCAGCTACTTGGGAGGCGGAGGCAAGAGAATCACTTAAGCCCAGGAGTTGGAAGTTACTGTGAGCTGTGATGCCACGTCACTCTACCCAGGACGGCAGCTTGAGGCTCTGTCTCAAAAAAAGAAAGAAAGAAAGAAAAGAAAAAGAAGAAAGGAAAAGAAAATCTTACTTTGATGAATTTTAGTTAAGCAGAAGTTTACACTTCAAAATGAAGTCTTGAAGGATTCGATTTTGGCACACATAGAATGGGGGAGGTTGTTAATATTAAAATGCAATCTTCCCGGGGCTTAGAGATTTTAAAAGCCTAGGACACACCATCCACAGGGGTTCTCCAGGGGTCTTCTTGGGGGGGGGGGTTCGCCCTCCCTGGCCACTCACACTCTCTCAATCTTTGGAGTATTACAGAGGAGAAAGAGCAGTCAGGGAGGGAAGGGGAGGCAAAGATGGAGGTGACTGAGCGCAGTCCCAGCTCCCCAGAGAGGACAGGCTTATGGGTGAGGGATATACCCTGGGTCACTATGAAAGTTTTGAGACAGACTGTGTTATGGTCCATTATCTCACTTCCAAGAAACAGAGTTGACAGCGTCCTTTGTTGGCTTATCAATATTGCCAGGAGAGCTTATTTGTTTCTGTCCACACAGACTTTATGTTTCTTTATTTTTGTGTATCTCAAAACTTTCGTAATGACCATGGTCATATCAAATGCTGCAGCCATTTTGAGAGAGGATGAAGAATGAAAAGAGGTCACTGGACTTGGACTTAGGGACCTTGGGAGATCCTGGAATCTCTCTTTACTGGGGGAACTCTAGCACGGCCGAGGCTGCCCGGCCCCAGCCGCCTCCCTGCTCTGGCTGTGGCAGAAGCTGTGTGGCTGGCTCCTTTCCTTAGTTTCTCTCACCCTCCCTGGGCAAGAGTAATGGTTACTCCACAGAGGGGATGGCCAGATCAAGGCAATTTTCTTACGTAAACATCAAGAAGGAAAACTCTTTGCTGGTGGAACTGTGCTGATGTTATGATTTAGAAGTAGCAATGTGTCCTGTGGATGCTGTAGGAGGCTACTGCAACCATCCGCATGGTAGAAAACCGTTTCCATAGCAATGACAGCTTTTTTAAAAGATTATTGCACCTCTCTTCCCATTAACTGGGTAAGGATGCTCTGGGCCTCTGTGCAATGGGTCCTCTGGAGCTGAGTTAGCACAGGAAGAAGAGGGGCTGAGCTGAACAAGAGTGTCCTGTGTGTTCAGCTGGTTTTGTGGTTTTGTTATTGAACAGTTTCTCTGCCAACCACATCCAATTTGCTCTGACCACAAGAACAAACGGAAACAGCAGAGAGAGCCCTGACACCGTTCAGTAAATATTTCTGGCTCAGCTTACTTTGATCTTAAAATTAGAGAGACCTTCAACCTAAATTTATCTTCTCCTAAGACCAAGTGCTAAAGAGAGATCAGACACGGGGAGTGGAGCATTACTGTCATCACCACATACTCACATCCCTGCTCCTGCGTGTCTAAAGAAGACCAGAATGTTTTCTCTGGGTCCGAACATTGCATCTTGTTCACGATTATATCCCTAGCACCAAGCGTGATTTCTGATGCATAGCAGGTGCGTATTAAACGTTTGTTGAAAGAAGTAAATGAGAACAAACACAAATATTTACCACTATGATTTCTTCTCCTTAGTCTGCCCTATACCCTGGTTCAGAAGCACAACCAGCCTCTGGGGCTTTCAAGAACACTAGTGAATTTCCATATAAGGTACAAGCATGTATCACTAAAAGTTTCCATGTGGCCCAGATGTTCCTCGTAAGGAACATTAAACAACAAATAAAGCCTTTCGAATTGCCTGCCTCCTCCCTGGCCTGATTTCTCATTTCCTCCAAGGTTGTCTGCCTTTGGGCACCCAGCTGGGCTGGGGATACCGAGTAGCCTTTGGTGTTGGTGACCTGGGGCTGCAATATTGTCCAGTCCTCCCTCGTTACCCTGAACGTTTCTGTCACCTTCAAATCTTTCTTTGTGTCCTTGTGTCTTGTCTTCTATGTATCTTCTTCACATTCCCACGGATTCCATACATATGAAATCACAATCGTGGAGTATTTCTGCCTCTCAGATGAACACAGCAACAGAAGACATTTTCGAGTCAATGAATCAGTTAGTAAAGGTAGGAAATAGGATGGAAACACGTAACTAACATTCCATGCTGCTAAATAATACTTAGTCAAGGCATGCTAAACCTGTAATGACAAATTAGAGTAGGCAGCCCATGGTCCTAAACTTGGTAAGATTCTCTGGGAACTCAGATTTAGGATTCAAAACCACCTTTTGTTGTTCTTTGACCATCCACCAGAGGGCAAAAGGTCTCTGATAACTTTGGGAAAATTGGGAAGCCCCAAGAGTTTCAGATTAAAGCCATACTAATTAAGTGCACAGCCCACACCCAGGCCTGCTTAAAGTGCTACCAAGGGGAGGTCATTCTTTTGCCTTTTCCACTGGCAGCTGCTTCACCTTGGATGGAGAAGGAGGGGCCCCTGCTAACTAGGCACCCAAAGATACCTTACCCCTTGTACAGTTCACTAAATGTTTGTGTTATATATCTACTCGTTTAATAAGTACTTATTGAATGCCAGGAATGTGTCAGACATTGTTCTAGGGCACTCAGCATCCAAGAGCTAGCAAAATAGACAAAGGGGACTTTTTTTTTTTGAGACAGAGTCTTACTATGTCCCCCTGGGTAGAGGGCTGTGGCGTCACAGCTCACAGCAACCTCAAACTCTTGGGCTTAAGCAAGTCTCTTGCCTCAGCCTCCCAAGTAGCTGAGACTACAGGTGCCTGCCACAGTGCCTGGCTATTTTTTTGTTGCAGTTGATTAGCTGGCCCAGGCCCAGGTTCGAACCCACCACCCTCAGTGTATGTGGCCAGTGCGGTAACCACTGTGCTATGGGTGCCAAGCCGACAAAGGGGACTTTTGAAACAAAACTTCTGGCAGGAGCTTACTGTAAGGAAGGCAAGTGGAGAGCAGGGAGGCTACTTAGGAGGTGATGGGGACAGTCCAGGTGAGCGAGTGCGGGGGCCTGGATGCGGCGAGGGTGCAGTGGAAGCGAGGCCAGCAGACTTCCCACCTGGTGGTGCGGAAGTGGGAGTGAGGGAAAGGAAGGAGTCAGGCACCACTCTGCAGTTTTGGCCTGAGCAGCTGAGATAAGGAGAGTTGCCATTTGCAGAGACCCTCGTGAAGTATTCCCAACAGCCTGCAAGATAGACAGGAGAGGTCTCAGGCATATTTCAGCTGGTAACAAGGGGCCAGAAAAGGTGTCGAGATGGGTGGCGCCCGTGGCTCAAAGAAGTAGGGCGCCAGCCCCATATGCGGGAGGTGGTGGGTTCAAACCCAGCCCCGGCCAAAAACTGCAGAAAAGGTGTTGAGAGCTGCCCAAAGTCCCCAAGCCAGGAAGAGGGAGGATCTGGCCTCAGGCTCTTTTCTGCACCTTATTCATTCCCTACTGCTGCTGTAACAAAATACCCCTAGCTCAGAGGCCTCTGAGCAACATGAATGATTATTTTACAGTCCTGGAGATCAGAAGTCCAGAGTCCATCTCAGTGGACTAAAAGGACAGTGTGGGCAGGGTTGTGTGCCTCCCAGAGGCTCCGGAGATGCCACCAACTGGCTGTGAGATCACAGCACAGTCTCCCTTTAGTTTCATTCTCTGGAGAGTGGGGACAATGACATCCCCTTACCTCAGGGCTGCTAGGGAATTTAGACAACAGCTCTGAGAGGGTGCCAACACAAGAATTTGACATTTTTCACATTCGTGGACAGGGTCAAAGAGCCCATTGCCCTTCACCGCTGGTAGCCAATTGTGGCAGTTTCTGGTAGGCCTCTCCTAATGGAACTATTTGTTTTGATTGTAGCCCCATGGAGAATCCGAGGTGCCTAAGAAAGCCTGTGGCCAATAGGAGAACCAAGTCTCTGGACAGGTTGCAAGCCCCCAGGAAGGACTCAGAGTCACGGGACGGCCAGTGCCTCAGTGTGGCCACCGCCTCCTCTAGGAAGACGCCCCGCCGGACGGCCAGTGATGGGGCCAGACGTTCTACAGAGGCTCAGGGCCCTGTGGCTGCAGCCCTCACTCTGGAGGAGACCAGGGAGTTTCTCTCCAATGAGCAGAGTCCCCCTCAAGACACCAAGGACAAGGCCCAGCAGGGCTGGTTGAAGAAAATGCTGAACTTCTTCCTGAGGACAGGCCCTGAGGAGCCCAGAGAAAAAGCCAGCAGGCAAACAAAGGGGAAAGAGGGCCCCGTCCACCTCACGGAGTCCCCGAGGGAGCCAGACCTCAAGAAGAAAGCCCACGACAAGAAGGCCAGCCGGAAGAAGCATGGCCATAAGAAACACGTGGCTGAGGAACCCAAGGGGGCTCACGATGAGGACGCTAGAGGCCCAGAGGCAGGGCTGTCCAAGACAGCTGCTGCCCTGCACTCCGAGGAGGTGGACCTGGGCCCGGCTCGTGGGGGTGAGCAGACCATGCCTGTTCCTGTGGGGACCCCACTGCCCTACCCCAAGGCCACAGTGTGATAAGCCCGCTGTGCACACCTCTCAACAGAGGGGACACCTCTCTGAGGTAGAACAGCCCCATGGCTGAGAGCTCCAGGTTAGACCACCTGAAGCTCCATCATTCACTGACTGTGTAGCCTGGGGCCTGAAACTTTCCTCTTTGAGCCTCCATCTTTCCTGAATAAAATGAAGATGAAACAGTTTCCATCTCTTGGGGAGGCCATAGCCCAGGTGGAATGTGCTCAACTGGGGGGGGTGGTGTTATTTTTAAGTACTCTAGTGTGAGGAACACATACCTAGGAGAAAGGGGAGGCAGGGAGCAGGGAAGGGAAGTCCCCCCCACGCTCCCCCAGGGCAGCTGGGGTGCTAGGAATCTACACTTTGCTCCACTGGCCAATAATTGACCTTGAGTTTGAGCAGCCCTCTGAAATCTTGGATTTTTTGTTCATAAATGAGAGAGCTGCTTCCCCGGGTGCTTTCCTATTCTGCCTCCCAGGATCCTGGAGTTGGGTGCCCCTCTGGCCCCGGAGGGGGATAGAACTTTGCCCTATAGCACGCAAAACTCACTGTGCTTTTGATGGGGGAGAAGAGACCCGAGAAAGATCCGGGATGAGGGCTAGGGGACCAAGAGGGGCACCTAGCTTGAGGCAGCCTCTCTTCAAATAAAAACCTTGGTGGGTCTCTGATTCTTTGGTTAAGCCTAGAGCTGGCTACCGCAGTGCCTGTTGTGCTGTGAATTCTGTGTTGTTTTCTTATGTTGATCAACAAAATTAGAAGAATGTCACTGACACCCCACATACACACCCACATACCCACTGGCTTTCATCTGTTTTCTAGGCAGGGAGGATTCTGATCTCCACCAGTCCTTGGTCGTTGAAGAGAGTGGTGCTGCAGCCTTGAATGTTTCTCCCCAAGCCTCAGATCACCAGAGAGAAGAGATCAAAAAGCCTGACAGTGAGTTCACATCTCTAGTGCCTTTTTGCCGATAGCGGGGGTGGTAGGCAATAAATTGCTCTGTATGATTACTGAGACCTTGGACAGTGGCTCTCAAAATATGTACTTTGATCTTTTATCTTCTTCTGGTGCTTCTGGCCAGGTTTACTTGTTTTAGAGTTTCCCAGAAGGGAGTCTTAGCAATTAGAAAGGCTGCGGGCAAATGCTCCTGCCTTCTGTGTTAAGAGGATGGGACTATATTTTTCAGTTTTTTAAAATTTATTTTAGCTGAGCATGGTGGTCCATGCTTGTAGTCCCAGCTAACTTTGGAGACTGAAGTGGAAGATTGCTTGAGCTCAGGGATTTGAGGCCAGCCTGGACAACATAGCAAGACCCTGTCTGTAAAAAACAGAGAGAGAGAGAGAGAGAATGAGAATGAATGAATAGTACCCTATTCATCTAATTCCCTGTAAAAAAGATGGGTATTTATTTATTTATCTGAGACACTGTTGCCCTGGGTAGAGTGCCATGATGTCATAGCTCACAGCAACCTGAAACTCTTGGGCTCAGGTGATCCTCTTGCTTCAGCTTCTGGAACGGCTGGGACTATAGGTGCCTTTATGACCCCCTCTAGTTTTTTCTATTTTTAGTAGAGACAGTGTCTTGCTTTTGCTCAGGCTGGTCTCAAACTTCTGAGCTCAGGCAATCCACCCTTCTCGGCCTCCCAGAGTGCTAGGATTATAGGTACAAGCCACTGTACCCAGCCAAGATGGGTTTATATTTAAAGACATGAAATGGAGGAGCTATGCAATTGTTCTTCAGGATGTTTAGTTATTTTACAGCTAATCATTTTCTCACATAAGAGGGAAGCAGCTTGCAGACTGAGTCAAGGAGCAAGCAGACAATTTCTAAGTGGGAGGCAAGTCTGAGCTCACTGTCCTTGACTAGGGCACAGGAAACCATTTCTGTTGTTTGTGGCTTCTCTGTGATGCTCGGGAGTGTGGTTGAGGCAGGTGGCAGGCTCTCTCTGTGTCATGCCTGCCAAGGTCCTTCTGTCCTTTACCTTAGTCAGGCTGGCCATCCGCCATTTTTCCTGGTGGAAATTTGCAGGTTGAAAGATGAGCACAGTCTTGTGAAGTGTTTCCAAGTCTTATCCCTTATTTGATGTCCTGACAACCTTCTGAGGGAGGCAGGACAAGGATTAGGATCCACATTTCACAGGGAAAGAGATGAAAACCCAGAGAGGGTAAGAGACTTACCTAAGTTCACACAGCCTACTGAACCCAAAGTGGATATTCACCCATCTGTGAAGTTCAAAGGAAATAGTGGGGTACAAGCTGGATGTCTGAAGGGCTGATCTGAAACTTTCTGCATAAAGTGTCATGCTTTAACTTAGAACCCTTCCCATGCAGATCTTCCTCTCCCAGAAGGGCCAGCCCCTGGGATGCGGTGCTTTTCTGCCCTTGCATAGCCCAAGAAACTGTTTTAAGAGAAGTCCAAGACTGTCATTTAGAAAGAGTTGTCAGTGTATTTAGAAAGAGTAACCAAGTACATTGCTTTCTTCCAGAGGATGCCATCATCAAGATGATAGTGGAATTGCTCAAAAAAGTGGGAGACCAGTGGGAAGAAGAGGTGAGGAGGAAACTACCCATGCTGGTTCCAGGGCTCACACCTTCTCTCCCTCTGTCAAGCCCCACCTGTCCTTGCAGGCCTGGCTCCAGTCCCTCCCCTCCCTGAAGCCTCCTGCTGCTGCTCCAGAGCTCAACCCTCCCCACTCTGGGGCCGCCCTACAGTTTGGCTGTTCTTCAGTTGCTTCTCCGGAAGCTTTCCCCTCTCATCAAGGCCAGGGGTCTGACTCAGTTTCTCTCCTCTCCCTCACAGCAACTTCGAGCCCCTCAGCCAGTGGTGGCCATGCAAAACCCTGTACCAGCCTCTAGGAAGAAATCCCAAGAGAAAAAGTCCAGCCCCAAGAGAGACTTTTCTAAGAAACACAGCTCTGAGGAGCCCAAGAGGGCAGGGGCTACAGATGTTTCCACCCTGGAGGCCCGGCCACCCAAGAGGCCCAGCTTTCTGCCCCTGCACCTGCCCCAGTGTGTGGGTGGCCATCGGCCTTCCATCTCCAGCAGCCTTGGTGAGCAGGCCCCACAGTTGCTATAGCAACCTTGCAGCTGCCTCCAGCTTTGGAACCTTCCCCAGAGCTGGAATTGACCACTTTAAAGGCTGCCACTTGGTCTGACTTTTGCACTCAGGCCTGAGCAGTGTGAAGAGGGCCATGGGCAGAGAGAAGGAATGCCAGCAGGTCACCTCCACACACAAAACCTCACTAAGGTCTGGACAGCCCCACTAAGCCCTTAGGTGGAAACTGTGTTCAGGGCTCCCCCAATCGTCCACCTCTCTCTGCAGCTACACCCTCTTCCACAAGGGGGAGGGTAGGTATGCAGGAAAGAACTGGAACCCAACAGGCAGGAGACCTGCCTGTCATTTATGGTCCCTGTGCTTCAGTTTCCTCACCTGTAAAATAAGACCTTTCCCTCATAGCCATTTTATGAAGTACAATTATTACCCCCACTTTACAGATGAGGGAACTGAGGCTTCAGGAAGTAAAACAATGTGTTCAAGGGCACATGGCCCATCAGTGACGGAGCCAGAGCTAGAGGGAAAAAGGATCAAATAGTTTCTTCTTGGGTATCAGGGAGGAAGGAACAGCCTAATTGGTCATCCTGGACAGGGGCATTTACAGCTTAGAAAGGAGGGGACAATGCTTAACACCAAAGATCAGGTCTCCAGGGGTAGAATTTCAGGCCACATAGGGATATATTTTCATGCCACGGGATTCTGGCCATGATCCATTAATTCATGCCATGGAATCAGGCATCTATTCTTCAACTATTTTGTGGATCAAGCCAAAATATTGGAGGGATGAGTCCCCAAGGGAGGGAGGAGAGGCAGGAAAGCCAGTTCTATGGACATACAAAAGGATAGGTCTGGGACAGTAAATCAGAGACCGAGCCTAGCCCAGCAGCTCACTTCCAGTCTGCCCAGGTCTTAGCGTGATCCAGCTGTGATGCCACGGTAGAGTCTGCTGGCTTCTGCGCAGTCAACATTCTCACATCGGCACCACACACCACCATTTCATTTTGCTTCTCAGGCTTGGAAGAACCTGAAGTCCAAGGAGTCCTGTCTACAGATAGTGGGAGCTCCAGTCCCTTCAAGCCTTCTACCCAACCAGAAAGCCAGAGACCTGGAGAGGAGCTGCAGCCAGATAGAGCCTCAGAATCCAGTGAGTACCCCCCTCCTCTACTCAGAGACCCCTGGAAAACTTCTGGTCTGACTCTCCAATTGTAGGAGAAAAACTGAGCCAGAGAGAGGCTGTGACCTATCCAGATCTCCCTCTGGGTATAGCAGGCTGAGGAGGTAGCATGGGGCCCGGGGCCCAGCCAAGCCAGGCTGTCAGTTACCCACTCTGTCTGTGCCTGCCCCACGAGGCAACACGAGGCCATGGGAGGAAGGCATTGGCCCATGGTAGGGGCTGGTGTGATCTTTAGGGCCTGGGCTTGAATCTGAGTTCTGACACCTTCAAGCTGTATAACTTGGGCAAGTTACTTCATCTCTAGTCTCAGTTTCCTCATCTGTAAAATGGGGGTGAAAATAGTACCCACTTTCTAGAATTGTTGGCGGCTCTAAAGGAATGAATACCTATGTAGCATTCAGAGCAGGACCTGTCAGCAGCTGAGACATGTTAGTCGCCTTTGTGGTTAATATTCTTGTTAGGTGGCCCACTTGTGGACAGAACCCAAGGGAAGTAAAGAGCATAGGGAGAGGCCGAGCCAGGCCTAGAATCAAGTACTCCTGTCAGTTCTGCACGTCTGGTCTCTGCTCCCTGTCCTTACTCTGCCTCGTTTGCTTTTATAGAATACATGCCTTGAAGGGGAATTGGGAAGGGCCTATTCTACCCAGACAGGAAGAAGGGGCAGCAGAGGGACCTGTGTGACATTGGCCTTCCTGGGTGGCTTTGAGGGAGCCTCTGCTGGAGTTAGGGACCTCGTGTCTGTGTGCTGGCCCTTGTAGGTGAACAGTTAGGTGAATGTGGGTCCCAGGGAACCAGCTCTGCCCTCAGGTCCCCTCTGATAGCTCATCAGCACCCTAGAGGGGCTGGGTGCATAGCCCTGGTCAGGACCCGTGAGTCTTCCAAGGAGCCACCTTAGGAAATGAAGAGTGATCATAGAAGAGTTTTTCTAAGCACTGGAATGTAAGCGAACACTGATCTTTTTTAGAAGAATTCATCCAGAAGATTGTTGCTCTACTCCACGATGCAGAGGAACAGGGGAGAGAGAAGGTGAGGAAGATGAATCCCTGTGTACCCTGACCTCACTATGGACCCCCCCATCCTGCCTGGCAGAATCACTGCCCCTCCCCGCCCCCAATTCTAAATCTTGCCAAAGCTTGGCCCAAGTCTTCCTCCTCCTCCTCCCTGGAGCTGCCCCAACCAGATCCAGACCACACAAATTTCCCAGCCCTGAGAATCAGCTACTCCTCCACTCCCTGTCCCCACCTCCACCCCACCCGATCCCCACCCCCAGCCACATGCACTAGCCCACAGTGGGTATCTTTCCCCAGCTCACCTGCAATCTCCTCAAGGTCAGGAGCCCTGATTCAGTTTCTCTCATCTCCCCCACAGCAAACTCACATCCAGGAGGTAGAAGCAACTGTGGAAAGCCTGGCACCACCCTGCAGGAGGAAATCCCAGGAGAAAAAGTCCAGCTTCAGAAGAGGCTTTTCCTCCAAGAAACACAGCTCCAAGGAGCACCAAAAAGCAGGGTCTTCAGGGGCTACAGGGGCTGCCAGCCCAGAGGCCCGGAGGCCCAAGAGGCCCAGCTATCTGCCCATGTGTGTCGGTGGCCATCGGCCCTCCACCTCCAGCAGCCTTGGTAAGCAGGCCTGGTGTTGCCGTGGTAATGGAGGCTTCCTCAGGGCTAGAGTGGCTGCTGTGGGGTGTGTCCCTGACTGTTGGTTTCCTTTCAAAGCAGGGTAGGGATGTGAGGGATGGAGGGGAGAGGTGAGAAACTGGTTGCCACTAGGACCCCTCCAATTATAACACATTCCCTCCCCCCACACACACATTTAAAAACAACTGTGTTGTGAGATCAGAGCATCTGTGCGTTAGAGTCGCCTGAAAAGCTCAGAGAAAAGAAGTAGGCTATGGCCTGGGCCTGTTTTTTTACTACACTAAGCTGAGGCCCCAGTGTGTACTAATTCCCTTAACATTTGCAGAGTACATATTGTGTTGTTTAACCAACTCACAATCCTGTGAGGGCAGTCTTATTACTCCTATTTGACAGGAAAAGTGAGGTTCAGACAGGCTAAGACTTGGAAAGCCTCAAAGAGTTAAAGGGGAGAGGGGTTCACTTGGTGGGGCCTTTGGAATACTTGTTTTTTTGCCTGCCCCTCTCCAAGCTGGTGAGAAAGCAGAGGTGGGTGGTGGATGAAAGCAGAGTTAGGTTTGTGGGGAAGGGTGTGAGAACACTGAGAACTCCTCTGAGACTGAGCTGGGTGGGGAACTCCCTGAGGAGCCTGGAAACAAGGACCCTCTGGGGCTCAGGCCTTTGAACAGCTTCTCATTGGGACCTGGATTCAGCTCTGTGCCAGGGGATTAGAGACTGGTGCAAAACACACCGACTCTTTTTTGCCCTCAGATCCAGAATGTTCTGAGTTCCAAGAGCCCTCACCTGCAGAAGGGGGACCAGTTGGGATCTCAGAAGCACCTTCCAAGGCCAGAAGCCACAAGCCAGAAGGGGGACCTCAGCAGGATGGAGCAAGTGAAGAGAGTCAGTACTGCCCCTGCTCCTACCTGGGATGGCTCCCTGGGTGCTTCTCTTCCTCCTGGATTTCACAGGCTGAATAGGGAATGATTCTGGGGAGGGAACTCGGAAGGGAGTTGGCAAATACCCCAGGAGACTTTAGAATGAGGCAGGGGGGTAGGCTTGGCTTTTGACCTAGGGCTGCTGGGGACAGAGTTGCAGGTGGAGAGCCTCCTTCCTCCTTCGGGCAGAGGACACCTTGTCTATTCTGTGGGATGTAAATTGACTCCCCTGCCCCATTACTTTGCATATCAAATTCCTAGTTTGGGTCTCCTAGCCAGTGGTGTGCTGGCAAACGGGTGGGGGTGAGGGAAGCCCTGCTCTATAGTGCTTGTAGATTTATATGGGGTATGAGTATGTCTACATTTAAAAACAACTGTGTCTATTTCAAGCTGGCAACAGTTGACAACAACAGTTTTACAAATTTCCTGAGAAGGAACTTAGTCTGAGCCAGTCCCAGCACACCACTGTTTATGACCTAGGTGGATGGGTTCCTTCCTGCTGTGTCATTAGCCATGCTGTGTCCCCTCCTTGCATTTTTTTTTTTTTTTTTTTTTTTTTTGAGACAGTCTCATTATGTCTCCCTAGAGTGCCATGGTGTCACAACCTCAAACTCCAGGGCTCAAGTGATTCTCTTGCCTCAGCCTCCCAAGTAGCTGGAACGGAGGGCGCCCGCCACAATGCCTGTTGGTTGCAGTTGTCATTGTTTAGCAGGCCCAGGCTGGGCCCGAACCCACCAGCCTTAGTGTATGTGGCCGGCTCCCTACCCACTGAGCTATGGGTGCCACCTCCTTCCTTCCATTCTAATTAGCTACTTCTAGTCCTAACTCCCATTTCTGACTATGGGACCCCATGGTGGCCTGGGTAAGGGACATTAGGAGGCCTCAGTTTCTCACCTGTCAAATGGAGCTGAATGTGGTTACTGCTGAGGCTCACAAGCCTCAGTTCTTTCTATTTCTATAAAGCAAACAAAGCTCTCCAGCTTGTTTAAGGAAAGGTTTTTCTTGGTCACTGTGGCTCACTCCTTCTTTATCTCCCTTAGAGGAGGTCATCATCCAGAAGCTGGTGGTGCTTCTCCAAGAAGTGGATGGCCAGCTGGGGCAGCAGGTGAGCACTGTGCCATCCTCCCCAGGACAAAGGTGGGGACTCATCTGGCCAAGTCTGCATGTCTGGGTGACTTTGAGCATGCCCTGTAACCTCTCTGAGCCTTGGCTTCCTCTTTTGCAAAATGAGGGATAATTATCTACTTGACCAAGCTTAGTGCATGTGTAGAAAATGCCAGCCATGTAGCAGATGGGGTAACTGTTAATTTAAAATAATGTAGTGATGAATGGCGCCTGTGGCTCAGTGGGTAGGGCGCCAGCCCCATATACCGAGGGTGGTGGGTTCGAACCCAACCCCAGCCAAACTGCAACAAAAAAATAGCCGGATGTTGTGGCAAGTGCCTGCAGTCCCAGCTACTTGGGAGGCTGAGGCAAGAGAATCACTTAAGCCCAAGAGCTGGAGGTTGCTGTGAGCTGTAACGCTACAGCACTCAATAGCCACATTCACGGAGGCTGGATGGTTCGAACCCATCCCTGCCTGCTAAACAACAAGGACAACAGCAACCAAAAAACAGGAGGATGTTGTG